TGAGTTCTATTTTTCTCATAGGTTCAAAGGGAGGTTGAATCAACGCCTTCAGCGCCTTGTTTAAATTCCAGATCAGAAATCTGTGGCAAACATGAGGAGATAGCTGAGTCACTCCCTGCATAAAAAGTCTAATAAAACTGTTGGAAGAGAGGATTTTGTCATTATTCAACTTCAGAATAGACGGCAATGCTGATTATTGCCTCTAGAGTATTTGGATGGAGGCCCAGATGCAGCTGATCATGGACAAAGAGGATTATGCCTTTCTCATAAGGAAAAAGAGGGTCCAGGTCAATGCTACCTCCTGTGAACAAAAATTCTACTTTGTGAGCAACTGGCATCAAAGTTGTGAGTGAGCGATTTGGCTACTGCATATATTAGTTTGCTCTGGAGCCATCCTTCTTGAGCTAAGTCAAAAAGGTGTGAGCTGGAGGCTAAAAACATGTGAGCTAGCTCACACTAACTCAGCTTAGAGGGAACACTGGTCCAGGTGCTTTCTCCTACACCATCAGGTAAGTTCATAAATGCGGAGAGTAGATGGTTTGTGGGATGCTAGCATGACCTCAACCACTTCCTGGGGAAAATGTGCTCTCTAAGGCTCTTCTATCAATTTCCACATGGCTAGTTGTAGCCATTCTGGCTCCAGGAGAAAGAGAAGACCTAGTTGTAGCAAAGCTGACAATGGCAGGATCCTCCAAGGTTGAGCTACTGCCATGTTGATGAGATCGGAAAACCAAGGCTCCTGGGCCAAATGGTGGCAATTGTTATCACTTGGGAAGGAAATGCATACAGGAACCCCATTGGCCAAGGATGAATTAGTGCATCTTATCCTGCTTGAGACATTTTGAATGAGGAGCCTGGGGACTTTTGTCTGGAGTTGTGAAGAGATCTATACAAGGATTCACGAAGCAACACGGGGCAGCTCTGAAGACCCTTGGATTTAGTGACTATTCCCCGGGATCTATCAGTAGTCTGCTCAACCAGTCGGTTTCTCTATTTAAGGCGTCCTGGAGGTGCTGAACTTGAATACTTGGAAAGCATTTGATTCCCCAAATCAGAAACAGAGCTGCCTTTTCTGTAGGGTGTGAGATCATGTTCTGCTTGGCTTAAAATGTCCTACTGGAACACTAGGAGAGCCCATAAGAGGAGACAAGAGTGAAAACGAGCCTACTGAACTATGTTCATGGCTGAAATCATGAGGTCAGGATTTTGGCTAGGACCAGGACATCCTCTGACCTCTTGGTTGTGAGGCTCTCAGTAGACTGGATTAGTTTTTCCTGCTTCTCCTCTGTAAGAAAGGCCTTTCCCTGAGAGGTGACAATCCTTGCTCCTAGATGGATGATGTCTCTGAATAAAGATCTTATTAGGTCATCCAAGAGAAATAACACATGGCAACCCTGAGTCCGGAGGGATACCACCAACACAATCATGATCTTCGTAAATATCCTGGGGGATGACAACAGATAAATGGCAAGGCCCTGTACTTGTACTGCAAACCACTGTAGGCAAGTGAAGAACTGCCTGGAAGCAGGGTGCCTAGGAACATCTAGGTATGCTTCCCTGAGATAAAAAACCGTCTCAGTGGAGAGCCTCTAGAATGGATCCATTTGTGTTTGATGATCATCTTGCCCAATTTCTTCAGCAGCAAGAATTGGAAGGAATATACTTTGAAAAGCTGATCCTAAGACACTTGTTCTATGGCTCCAGTTCATAAGAGATATGCTATGGCCTGAGGCATCAGAGATTGCTTGTGAGGATACCTGGGAGAAGTGATAAACCTGAAGGGTGGACAGTTTACAAACTCTTATCTTGTACCGTCTTGAAAAACTTTCTTGACCAATCTGTCCAGTGTAGATTGGCTCCAAACATGGCTGAATAACTGAAGCCAGCCCCCTATTATATAGTCAGATGGAGCTGGAGTTTTTGTTGAAATAATGATTGTCTGCCCTGGGCTAACCAGAAGCTGCAGGTCAAGACTTGTTCCTGTTCCACTATGGCCTGCTACTTCTGTTGTCTCTATTGTTCCTTCCCCTGAAGGAGAAGTGGAAGGGATGAAAGGAACCTCGTGATCTGTTTCAGAAGTCCTTGTCTCTAACAGTGGAAGAGATCCGAGATGGCAGAGCCTTCCTTTTCTTCTTTGGCTTCAACAAAAATCTTTTCCAAAGCTGAATCTCCAAAGAGCTTCTGACCAAAGAATTTCTCAGTTGAGCGATTAGACTGAGAAAGGAAGTTAACCTTCCAATGTTTAAGCTACAGACTGCAATGAATAACAATATTGTCTACCAGCGCTTGGGCACTGAACTGCAGAGCATTCTGAGAGGTTTCCACTATGAACTCTGCTGCTCTTTTAATCTTCAGCAATTTCCTTTTGTGAGTGAGGGGGTCTGGGTTTGGGTTTTGCAGAAGGTTATCTGCCCATATCACAATGGCTCTGCAGAAATTGGAGAGAACTGAAGCTAGAGAGGAGGCTTCATGAGACTTCTTCAGTGCTACTTCATTTTTTCTGTCTGTGGGGTCTATTAAGGCATTGTCTACATCCTTTGATAACAAAGCCCAGAATGAAGAGTAGTCACCAGGCTTTAACCAAGGGAACTTTTAAGTCCTCCATACCAGAGTGAGGAAAGGAATAGAATTTTTTAGCTACAGTGAACAAGCTGTTGCCTGAACCAGGTACAGCCTATTCCACTTTCATAGCCTACTCAAAATGCTCAAGAAAAGAGCAAACAAATAAAACTGACACCAGTTTCTTAAACCCTCACTTGTCTAGATTTGAAGAGGCACAGGGTTTAACCTGATTTGTGTTTATAGCTGAGAACCTAAATGACTTTGGGTAAAAATCTGGTAAAGTGTTCTGCCTGGAATAATCTGGTGGAAGTTTTAGGGGTAAGGATGCCCTCCCCTGAACATTCCCCAGCTCTGTTAGAGGCTACTGACTCAGTTCTCATGACCGAGTGTTGTTTCTCATTATGCCCAGTCGATGGCAGTGGCGCCTCATACTTCTTAGGCTGAAGCTGATTGCACTCAGAGATAGCTGAGGATTCAAAAGCCCTGTAAAAGGTGGCCACTGTTAGCCACTGGTATGGGCTCTGGAGAGGAACCCGAGGATTCGCCAGATGACTGGACAAGGAACTCACCACCTTCCCTGCACCTGCAAGGGCTTCTTTTTGAAATATAGGAAGCTTCCTGAGAAGAGGAGGAATCTGAACAAAGAGTGTGTTGATCTCTATGGCATCTCTTACAGGGCCTGTTCTCCCACTTTTTCCTTTTGGAAACTGCCTGCTGCTGAGTAGAGTATTCCAGGGGAACAAAGTCTTGGAGGCCAGAGGTCGCTTCTGAAGCAAAAGGACTGGGCAGGCAAGGCAGAAAGGGCATTTGAGAGAGTCTCTGAAGCCCTGCTGTGACCAATCAAAGATGCTTAGAAAAGGTAGCATCTCCACTATATTAGAAAGCAGCCCTGAGGGAACTGCCACAGCTGTACTGCTTTAGGCTGCTTGCATAGGTACTGGAGAGTCAAAGGGGGAGGGGGTCTGCCTCTACCACTGATGAAGCAGGGGCTGGCTTAAAAACCACCTGTGTGCCCATCCCAGCCAAGGCTTTGAAGGAAACGGTGGAGAGGCCTGCCTGAACGCTGGAAGCCCAAGCAGCCAAACCTGAAGCCTCAGCTGCCACTGGGCTTGGGGAGAGCTCTGGGCATTATCCACGGGTTATTATTATCATATGGCATTGTGTGAAAAATAGCCAGGAGATCCTAAGATTGTCTGGCAGCTAGAAGTTCTAGCTCTTTTAGTGTTATGCACGGCTCCTTGGGAGGAAAGCAAGGGCAAACCTAGACAGAATAAAAAGTATAGACATCACCTTGCCAACAAAAGTCCGTATGGTCAAAGCAATGGTATTCCCAGTAGTACTGTATGGCTGCAACAGTTGGACCACAAGGAAGGCCAAGTGCCGAAGAACAGATGTTTTTGAATTATAGTGCTGGAGAAGACTCTTGAGAGTCCTTTGGACTGCAAGGAGATAGAATCAGTCAATCCTAAAAGAAATGAACCCTGACTGTTCCCTGGAAGGCCAGATACTGAAGCTGAAGCTCAAATACTTTGGCCACCAAATGAGAAGGGACCACTCACTGGAGAAGACCCTGATGCTGGAAAAGACTGAAGGTAAAAGAAGAAGGGGGTGGCAAAGGATGAGATGGTTAGACAGTGTCATAGATGCAACAAACATGAAATTAAGCAAACTCCGGAGCACGATGGAAGACAGGAGAGCCTGCTGTGATGTGGTTCATGGGGTCGCGAAGAGTCAGAGTCGACTGTGCAACTGAACAACAACAACCACTAGGTGGTGAGCTAGACATGTTTCTAAGGCAAGAAACTTCAGAGGTGGTTTGCCATTGCCCATCTCTGCGTAACAACCATGGTATTCCTTAGAGGTTGCCCTTCCAAATATTAGCCAAGGCCAACCCTGCTTAGCTTCCAAGTTCTGACGAGATCAGGCTAGCCTGGGCTATCCATGGGTGATCATAGCCAATAACCCCATAACTGGGTGATGATTGCTTGGCCTGGCACAGTTCTGGAGTGATGCACTGCAAAGAACCAACCCTCAAAGGGGCCTTGGCCTTTTTCCTCTTGGTTGCTGCAGCAAGAAGCTTTAAGGTTACTGAGGCAGTTGATTTTCTAACTTCCTTTGGTATAATAAATGGCAGGAAGCTAGCCCCAAAGGCCCCAATAAACTAGTTTATTTCTCTCTTTCTCTTTTGTGGGCCAACAAGACAGAGCTGACTAAGCAAGTCTTGCCTGAAGCAGGCCGGGCTTTCTGACTGGGAAAGGTCCACCTCCTACTGCTCTTCTTGGGGATCAGTTTAATTTGCATAAACCGTGCCTTGGAGTGAGCAGGAGGCATAACCCAAAGGAAGATGACTTCCCTCGTCTCAAGGAGAATATATTTATTACTATGTAAACCTTTACCAATCTTACCTTATATGCAGGGTTTGGAATCAATGGAGGTGCCCACTCTCCATCCATCTCTTCATCCCAGTCACCAGGTTTTTCAAAATTTGCATCAGGAATTCTTTCTGGCTGGTCCCAGTCCTAACACAAGGTGTATTATTCAAGATAATCAAATAAGATTGTTAGCACAAATATATATTTTTAGAGGAAGAGGCAATTCAACAGTATTTCCTTAAAATGCTTACTCATTTTACACATTGGTTCATTTTACTCATTGGTTCAGTTAGCATTGAATTTATTTGGCATTCATTATCAGCTTACCTTGCTCTGCCATTCCCTAAAACTTCATGAATTATCAATTGCAATAACATCCTTTTAGATTATATAGCATTCAACAAGAGTCACTGCAACCATTACTAGACATGGGAGACATTGCAATCCTAAACAGAGTTACACCCGTCTTGTTTGAGGGGAGGAGGACATCATGCCCCACCTAGGTATAATGCCCCATAATCCCTAAAGGCAGGAAGCAGATTGCGTTTTATGTCTCCAAAAGTTTGGAGTGCCCTACCTCTTTTAATTATCTCTGTATTCCCCAGTGACTGCATGGATTATTCGTGCTGGAAACTCTTACGTTATGGCTTCTCATTTCTGTACCTTGCTTTAGATGCCTTTTCAGTCTACTCATTGTCCTTCAAACGTTTGTGTTCTTTGTCTAAGGAAAAAAAAGACCATCCTGCTCCTTTCCTCCTCTCACCTGTCCTCTGTTAACTTTCTCCAGTTCCTACTCACTCACAGCAGTACTGACAGCTGGGCCAGCAGCTGAAGCCTCGGATGCAGAGGAGCCCTCAGATGGGAAATTAAGTAGTGAGGGTCCTGCATAGCTGTGTGGTGAAGAGCAGACCTCCAGAGCAAGGTTCCCTCTAAGCTGAGTTAGTGTGAGCTAGCTCACACTAACTCAGCTTAGAGGGAACACTGCTCCAGAGTGGAGCCACAAGCCACATCTCTTTGGACTCTGAGGAAGACACTACGGCAGAGATGTAGTTTGGTGCAAGAATGCTATCATGCACCACAGACACTGACAAGCCAAGCCTTTGCAAGCCTCAACTTCACAGAAGGGGCCACCAGACTGGAATGATGAGTCCTGCTTATTCAACCTGTGGTGGGAATAGAAATTGCCTGTTTGGTTCCACCCAGATTCCAGGTCTGTCTTGAGGAGTTTAGACAAAAAGGAGTGGAACAATCAGCATGCTGTGAAGAAAAAGCAGCAGCAGGGATCAATGTTCCCTCTAAGCTGAGTTAGTGTGAGCTAGCTCACACTAACTCAGCTTAGAGGGAACACTGGCAGGGATAGACCTCCCTCCCCTCCTCACTCCTTCTAAATGACAGGCTGTACGGTTTGCTGGGGGATCCCTTTCTGGCTAACTAAAGTTGCTTGCAAGGGGTCATCTGCCCCCATTATCCATTACTCTCTGTCTTCTGCTGGCAGAGATGAGGAAAAGGAGTATATCCCCCAATCTGAATACTCACAGACTGAGTCAGAGGAGGAGGGGAAGGTCTTAGATGACACCCGCTCCCAAAAACGAACCAATAGCCTAAATGTTTATTTTTGGGAGAGCCCCACTTTTCTACAGAGCATTAAAAATTCTGTAAATTTCACCTCCTCGGTACACAAACCTATGAAATAGGAGGAAGAAGAGCCCCCCCCCCCCGGTTTTCTGTAGTACCATAGAACTGAGGTCCATGCTCCCATTTCCATTATTTTCTGTAGAAGAAATCAAGGAGATATAGGTGAAGCCTACTGACCAGTACTTCCATGGGGGAGGAAAGCAAAAAGTGATACAGTATTCCTTTCATTTTAAGGCACCCAACTTTTTCAAAGTTCCAGTAGTAGACACCCTGGTTGCTGCCCTAGCTTTGGGGGTAGCCCTTCCAAGGGGGGAGCTTCCTCTGGGATACCACCAACTACAAAAGTGATGCCGCTCTACATGGGCCCATGAGGAAGATTGTCCTTGTCCATCAAGGCCTCTGCTGCCACCTTGCTGATGGCATGTTCATCACTTAAGTGGCTGAGGAATCTTCTGAAGGAGTATCCATATCTAAATCCCAGACTGGATATCTACATACAGTAGAGAGAGACCAGTGGTTTTCATATTAGATGTCAGCCTAGACTATATGAAGTTTTATGCCAGGGCAAAAGTGTTAGCAGTGATTGCTAGGAATAACCTTTGGCTCAATAGCTGGACAACAGATTTTCATTCCAATGCCAGTACAAATTCCTGGCTTTTCCTTTAGGCTAAACTGTTTGGTGAAAGTCTAGATGATGTCTTAGTTAAAACAAAGAAGCAAATAGTTACATCTCTCTCATCCAACAAATATAGTAGGCAAACCGAAGGGTAAATTCTCAGCCCCTTCATTCAAACACAGCAATTCCAGGATTCCAGAGGGAAATACAAAATATCATCATAGACAAAGTGAAAACAGAATTTCAGGTCCAGCTCCAAGTCCCAGCTCTCTAACTCCAGAAGGAACAACAAACAATGGCAGTAGTCGAATGCACACCAGCAGTCCACAGTTCAAACTGCATGGCAGTGCTCGGCCGCTGACTAGTGGGGAAGAGAGACTATTTCATGAAGTTACACAATCAGAATTTGTCTCAACCCTTTGAGACAGATTTCTCATGTTGCCCATGTCATGGTGTCCCATCAAGAACCAGTGGAGTAGATGCCATAAACCATCTTCTGGAAATCAACGCTACTGAAATTGTACCATTCCATCAAAAATTCTGTGGTAGATATTCAATATTTTTATGGTCCCCAGGTAAAATAGAATTTGGCGAGCTACCCTAGACCTAAAATTCTTTAACAGGTTCATGACATAAAATGATTGAATGGAAAAAAGATCACAAGGAGGTGGCAGAAATGGCACCAAAACTATAGAGGAAAACTCTGAAAGTTTCACTGAGACTGAGCTCACTCTAACTCAGCGGTGTTAAACATACAGCCTGAGGGCCAGATCCAGCCCCCACAGGACTCAGATCCGGCCCAAGAGCAACTTCCGTCTCCTGATTCTTATTCCAGGGCTGCTGCTGCAACTGCACTGTAGCTTGCTTTTCCCCTAGCTCCCTCAGTGGCTCTTTGCTTCCTGCTTCCTGCCTCTTGCCTCCATTTTTATCCCCCACAGCTCCCTCAGTGAATGCTTCCTGCTGTGCGGGAGAGATACAAAGACAAGCCTCCCCCCCCACACACACACATACAGACACAGCTTCTGTTTCCTTCTCCAGGATTTCTCTTAAGATTGGATTTCTCTGTTCCTATGTGGATTTTATTTTCTTAAAAAAAACAAAAACAATCCTGATTAGGAATTAGAACACTTGGATTGGTCCTTATATTTTGGAGAGTGGAGTGATTTCAGATGCTACTCTTAAGTAAGCAACTGAATGTTGTGGTTTCTAATGTCAGATTTACGTCCATTTATGCTTTGCATCCTCCTGGACTGAATCCTCCTGGACAGAACTGAGACCTAGATTTCCTGTCTCATTACCAATGTTGGTATCTCCATGCCTAGTACCCCTCTGCATATCACACCTAATCCAATCAAGCCTGCTATTGTAATTCACCTGGTATTACCATTCAACATCTAAAATCTCCTTTATAAAGTTTATATCTCCAGTACCTCATGTTACATTTTATAGCACGCATGGCCCAGCCCAACAAAGTCAATTTTATGTCAGATCCAGACCATAACAAATTAGTTCGACACCTTTGCTCTAACCAGTAGCCACCAGTAGCCACAGAAGGGAGAAAACAGCGTCTAGCCTCAATTCACCCATTTGTAAAATGGGAATGGTGATAGTTATAAGGATACAAAATATTTTCTAAACAAAAAGAACTGTTTACATTATTAAAACAATTATAACAATAATTATAAATATGAAACTTTTTAAAGCTTATGCTGGAATCAGACAGACACAGCACTAACTGAACAGCATGAGAAACAAGACAGCAATGCCCCAAATATAAGTGAAATGACATCCAGTTTCTGATGCATAAAGCATAAAGTAATGATACTGAAAATCTTACATCTGGTTTCTTGTCCATGGGATCTTCAATAGTTTCTCTTTCGTCCCAGTAGTCAGGTTTTTGTGCATCAGGATCAATTATTTTTTTGGGAGGAAGGAAATCCCAGTGTTCTTCTAGATGGCCAGCTTCAGCAACATAATTATCAATCTTCACTTCATAAGTAAGGTCTGGACGAACTATCAGAGTGTACAGATGGGTAAAATCATCCGTCTCAAAGAAAGAAAGGGAATACTTTATTATAAGCAATAGACTTATTTTCCAGTGTTCCAAACGAACTGGCAGTTTTGCCAAATAGAATACAACAAAAAACAAGTTGGGAGATGGTGTACCTCCCTGGTGAGTGGTGTGCCATCAGAGAAATGGGGGGGAGAGGGGGACACGGACGGATGGACTTTAAGATAGAGAACAAATTCTGTAGTAAACAAAAGAAAGCGTATTTGGGCAGAAACTCTCTCACAGAGACACAGTCAGTAGGACTGCCAGCATTTTTGGATAGTAAGTTAAAATTCATAGTGTAGACAATATGGAACTCCTTAATAATGGTTTTTTCCAGTCTGCATTACTATTCAGTCAAACAGCTGTTTAAAAGATATATTCTACAGCTTATAATGGGCTTTTCACTTGAAGAAAAGGAACCTTGGCACCAATTCTCAAGAAAATCAATTCCAGTGAGCATATGGAATATGAAAAAATCTGATTATGCATGCAAAATAGATGATTTTTCCCCTTGTGATAAAGATTTAGTGAACTATTTATTAATCTGTACCTCTTGCTCTACAACATCATTTATACTCCAAGTTACCAGTCCTTGAAAAATTAAGATAATTAGAACTTACTCTGTTACTTTCCTTGTACATAGGGTTGCCAGACCCCCCAGTTTGGCGGAGGTCACACACTTTTTGGGGGGTTCAAACCACCGCCAACCAGCTGGCTGGCAGGGGAAGCCCCGCCCCCAAGCCCCAACACCCACAGCCACCCCATCCCTTCTCTCAAGAGAAGAGGGAGAGGAGCAGCTGCGGGCGGGGGCCTCCAGCTGCCTGCACTTAAAGAGCAGTCAGTGGGAAAGGGCCCTGCGTGCCCGATCTTTGAGCGGAGCTCCCTTTGCTAGTGCAGGCAGCCGGTGGGAAGGGACCCCATGCAAGCAACCTGCGGCAAGCAGCTGCTGATGAGCCTAGTACTGCTAGCATCATCTGGCAGAAGGTGGTTAAATAAACACAGGGTGCTCAATGCAACCACCACTAGAAGCAATTCCACTAGTGCTGGCTCAGTCACTTTGCAACTGCCCTTGGTCAGCCCAAGACCCTACTGTGTATTTGAGGGTGCCCTTCCTGATGCCAGGCATGTAGTAATATACAAAAGCTTATACAGTTAAACTCAAATGATAATAGAGCTTTCCCCTCCTTTCTTTTGCTGCAGGTTTATATCTTATCTCCAAAATGCTCAAGGTGGCATACTTAGTTCTCCTTTCCCCATTTTACCCTCCCAGCAAGAGAATAAAATAAGCTAGGCTAGGCTGAGGGAGACTTACTGGCCCGAGGTCACCAGGAGCTTCATGGAACTGTGCAGATTTAAAGCCAGGTTTCCCAGATGCTAGTCTGACATTCTAGCCATTATATCATGCTGTCTGTCCAACTGAGCTCAAAATGCTTTTCCTGGAGAACAGGGGATACACAGGAACAGCAATGAGGGGGAAAACAGTGGTGTCTAGTGGGAGACGTTTGCTGATAAAAGTCACTTCCCCTTTCTGCTGGAAGACCTTGAGGTCCAGTGGAAAACACAGTTTGGATTCAGCCTAAATATTTACCTTGGCATGGATTTTCATATTACAATATGCTCTTCCCTATTTGTTTGTATATCGCAATATGCGTTCGCTATTTGTTTCCCTGTTTGCGTGCAGAAATCAGCACAACAGCATGACAAGAAGGAAGAAAAAGGCAAAAGATTTCACTGAAAAATAACTGAAAAACTAGCAATGAACAAGACTAGTGTCTTTTTAATAGCTGAGAAATATTAATTATACCTCACATTTGATGTCCTTATTGATCATATAGTAGTCATCTTTATAGTTAAAAATAACTTGCACAATCTTTTTGTCCTCTCCACATATATCAGGGCCTAGAAGGAAATAACAGTTCTTAGAGATATAAATTCAAATTACCAGGTCTAATTACCAACTCTAATAACAATTTTAATGCAGACTGATAGAGACATTATGTTTAATACTACTTTAATTTTATACCTCTGGTACCAAAACCCACTTTTATTTATTTTACTTTTTTATATTCAGATCTACACTTTTTCATTTACCTTTGCTTTCCCTTATTTATTTCAGTCAGTATCACTCAAGATGGATATTAGGGGAAATGGTAGAGCCAGAACTAGCATCTACCCAGGAAAAAAAATCTAGAATTGTGGTTGACAGCTGACTGAAAATGCCAATTAATTGTACAGCAGTGGGGAAATTATTTATTTATTTAATTTATACCCCACCCTCCCCGCAAAAGCAGGCTCAGGGCGGCTTACACTGATTAATATATAAATAACAATTAAAATCCACACAAAAGCGTCTAAAACAGTTCAATTATAAACAATTCAATGACATAAAGTGCTGGTGATATTGAATTAATTGCCTAACAATGGTGTGCTGTAAGAGTGCATACAAAGGTCTAACAGTTATTCTGCTCCATGATCTTCCTAATACGAGCGGCGGCACAGGCTGTAGATGTCAAAGCCAACGGCCAAGGCTCTATAATTAAGATTGTTGGTGGTAATAGTGGTGGCGGCTCCTTAGTTGAAAGCCTGGTGGAAGAGCTCCATCTTGCAGGCCCTGCAGAACTGTAAAAGATACCGCATGGCCCTGGTGTCTTGGAGCTGCCACTGAGAAGGCTCTGGCCCTCATAGTAGCAAGCCTGGCATCCTTGGGACCCGGGAGGGTCAGTTGGTTTTGAGACCCTGGCCATAGTGCTCTCTGAGGTATTTATTTATTCATTTTATTTTTATCCCGCCCTCCCCGCGAACGGGCTCAGAACGGCTAACAAACAAGGGCACCATGTGCCAAGTATAAAACATTAAAACACATAAAAACAACCATTTTATCAAAGTTCTCAGTGCTCAGTGATGTTAATATTAATCATTTAGTCAAATAAATTAAATCAAGATGGTGATCAGTAGATGTTCCTCAAGCCCAAATTGGCAGTACCGCTCTATCCGAATACTGTAACTTGATCTTATAGGGGGCCATCAATCTTAAATGGGCCATGGGTAAATGGGTATATATGGGGAAAGGGAGTCTGTCAGGTATGTCGGATCCTGGCCATATAGGGCTTTAAAGGTAAGAACCAGTACCTCAAAACGAATTCAGTATGCCATTGGCAGCCAGTGTAATGTCTTCAGCACAGGCTGAATGTGCTCCCACCTGGGGAGGCTCATCAAAAGCCTGGCAGCAGCATTCTGCACTAGCTGCAGCTTCCGAATTTGGGACAAGGGTAGCCCCATGTAGAGAGTGTTACAGTAGTCTAATCTCGAGGTGACCATTGCATGGATCACAGTTGCCAGGTCATTGTGGTCGAGGAAGGGAACCAAGTGCCTAATCAGCCAAAGATGGTAGAAGGCCAACTTGGCAGTGACTGCAACCTGAGCCTCCATGGTTAAGGAGGCGTCCAAGAGCACTGCCAAACTCCTAACCTCCAGCGTTGGCACCAGAGGCGCCCTATCGAAGGTTGGGAGTGGAATCCCTATCCCTGAACTGCCCCGACTCAAGCACAGGATCTCCGTCTTCATCAGATTCAGTTTCAGTCAGTTCAGTCTAAGCCAACCAGCCACGGCTTGTAATGCCTGGCCCAGATCTTCCGACCTGGAGTTCGACAACATCAGCATACTGGTGACACCCCAGCCCATGCCTCCGGGCAATCTGGGCAAGGGGGTGCATATAGCTGTTGAATAGCATCGGGGAAAGCACTGCCCCTTGAGGAACTCCACAATCCAGTGGGTGCCTCTTGGACTGCTGTTCTCCTACTGCCACCCTTTGTCCCCGAACTTGGAGAAAGAAAGAAAGCCATTGCAAGGCAAGCCCCTGAATTCCTATGTCGGCGAGGCAGTGGATCAGTAATTGATGGTCAACCATGGTGAACGCAGCTGACAGGTCCAACAACAACAGCACTGCCAATCCGCCCCTATCCAGGTGCCTCCGGAGGCCATCCATGAGGGCGACCAGTGCCATCTCCGTCCCGTTTCCAGGGTGAAAACCGGACTGGAAGGGGTCTAAGATGGAAGCGTCATTCAGAAAGCTCTGTAGCTGAGTTGCCACCGCTCTCTCTATTAATTTGTCCAAATAGGGCAAATTGGAAACCGGCCAATAGTTGCTCAACTCAGCTGGATCCAGAGATGTTTTTTTCAAGAAAGGATGGACCACTGCTTCTTTGAGCACCCCAGGTAACTGTCCCTCTACGTGGGACTTGCTGATAATCTCCCTTAAGGTGCCTCGGAACCCATCCCAGCCAGCTATAATTAGCCACGACGGGCACAGATCAAGGCAGCATGTGGTAGGGCACACAGCTAGGAGCAATTTGTCAACTTCCTCTAGGCTGAGTGGGCTGAAATGATCCAAAACCAGAATCGAAGACGTGCATGGAGCCATCTAAGCCTGGGAATTATTAGGAAAGAGATAAAAAATAAAAACTGCCAGCATTATAACTTCCTTATTTAAAGATGTGGTGAGACCACATCTGGGATACTGCATACAGTTCTCATTGCCATTCCTAAAAAACAAAAACATATCACTGGAAATAGTTCAGAAAACAGCAACTAAAAATCAGAGCCAAGGAATGGTTCAGAAAGAACACAACTTTAACTCCCTGGCAGTGTGCACACAGTCAGTGCACATGTGCATTCCTTCACCTTCTGGTGGTGTCTGCAGAGCCTGACTGGGCAAAAAAAGTCTTCTATCCACAGCCACTACATGACCAAGGCAATCCATTTCCAGTACATTTGCCTATTTACAGCCACTACACCCAATGGACATTGAGGCGAGGAACGGAGGAGAAAGCACAGTGGCACAACTCCCTGGTGATGCACCTGTAGTCAGCACACACTCAAATGCTCCATCACCTTCTGGTGGCATTGGAAGAGGCCAACCAGGCAGTACAAGGTTGGAGCTTTTCATCACCAGACAGCCTGTGAGAAAGGCTGACACACTTCTGGTGGATTCACCTATTTACAGCCGATGCAGCTAAATGCATGAGCTGTGGCAGCACTGTGGTGTGGCATGTAAAGGGCATCACATTTAGAAACCTTCATGATGCCCTTAAATGAGCCCTGAAGTAACCTGGAAACTTTAGACCTCAACCTTATATTTTTGATATAGCTCAAAAAGAATGCTCAAAGTGTTATGGTACCTGTTAAGACCACTAACTGAAGCAGCCAGAATACTTCTGGCCCAATACTGGAAAGTGCCAAATGTAGAGATTTGGTTACATAGGATATGGCACATTATGCTAGTGGATAATATTTCTTTGTTAAAGTACAAAGAGCCTAGACAGAAAACAGATATTCCTCTTCAATACACCAGTGTGTACCATTTATTGAATACTGCAATATTAAACTCACTGTAGAAATTGTCTAAAAAAAGACTTACCTTGATTTAGACTGAATATATATGTTTTTAGAATTAGAATGTCACTTCTAAGTTGCTGATGTTACAAGTGATGTATAGAAATGGTGCATCATTGTGACATTATTTTAATTACTGTTCAGTGATTTAAAAAAAAATTTCTATCATTTTTAATTTTAAAAACATCAAGAGGTCAAAGTACCTTCTCTCTAAGCAGCATTTGAGGCTTTTTAGTTTAGGGATATTATACAGGTTTATAAAATTACGAATGATATTGAGAGAATAAATAGAACAATTTTTGTCCCACTTTTTAACACTAGTCAAAGTAATCCAACAAAATTACTGGCAAAAGATTCATTACAGACAAAAGGTAATCATACTTCACACAACATTCAGTATGGAATTAATTGCCACAGAATGTATTAATAAACTCTTTACAGTAGAGGATATGTGCATCAATAAGCTATGATAGCAAAACTAAATCTTCATGTTCAGAGGCAGTACACTTATGAATACCAAATGCTGGGAACATACAGAGCAGAGCTGCTGTCATGCTTGTCCACTCTTCCAGAAGTACCTGACTTGCATGGATGGAAACAGGGTACTGGGTACTGGGCTGTATGAAATTTTGGTCTGATCTGGTAAGGATCTCTCTTAAGTTCTTATGGAAGAGAACAGGCCATAGGCTCACAGAGCACTCCTAAGTAGTAGGGGTGTTCAAGAAAAAAAATGTTATTTTTTCAATTTGGGTATATCAGACCCGGAAAACATTGGTAAATACTGAATTTTCCAAGTACCAATAGTGGTATAATATTGAGATTTGAGACATATTCGGTATTTCCAAATATATTTGGGTCTGATATACCCACTAGGAGGGAAGGGAGAGCGAAAAGGTATATTTAAATGCCTTCCCTTCCCTCCCCCAGCCGCACCTACTTCCACTGGTCAGTTTCACTCCCCACCAGTCAGCTGTTAGGTTTAGGCCATTTAAACCTAACAGCTGATCAGTGGTGTGGAGTGAAACTGACCAGTGGAAGTGGCAGGGCAGCTGAGGCAGGATGAACCCGAATAAAAGCCGAATAAAATCAGTTTTGGGCTCAGCTATATCAGTAGTTGGTGACTTACACTATATCTGAAAAATACTAATACGGTATTGTTCAGGTATTCATTCGGTTCAGTTAAGATGAATGCACACTCTAAGTAAGAATGTGCAATTTTTTTAATTGGTATTTTTCAGTTCAGGTCTATTGGACCCGAAAACATTTCATTATTTCCAAAAAATCCCAAATCCCATAGACCCAAGATGAAAAATACTTTTTTTTTTTTTAAAGCCAGTCTGATCCTGGGGCTGGCTTGGCTTCTCCTGCAGTGCAGTTTAAACTGCGCTGCAGGAGAAGCTACCCCCAGAATCTGCATGCTGCAGGACGCTCTCTTCACTCCACATGCAGACCTGGCTGGGATGGCTTCTCCTGCAGCGCTGTCTTATGCAGTCCCTTTAAATTTTAAAGGGACTGCAGCAGAAGCCTGACGAACAGCTGAGAGGTGGGAACAATCTGCTCCCTCCTCTTAGCTGTTTTCTGATTGACAAGTAATTTCCAAATATATATGGGATTTTTTCAGGATTTTTTTTCTGGTTTCCTTCAGAAAACCCAGATACATTTGGGAAGCCAAAGTATACCCAAAAACTACTGATAAGGTACTTTTTGGTTATATTTTCAGCTCAGTTAGATCTGAATACACACCCCCTACTTCTAAGCACATTTACTAAGAACTAAGTCCCACTGACTTTATAAACGCTTAGGATTGCAGTGTTTTGCAAATATAAGGGAACTATAATTTTCATCAATACAAAAATAAGTAGCTCTAAAATATTGAAAGAATTGAATTCCTTATAGCACTGAGATAAATTCTTCATCAGCTAAGATGCAAAAATTACTGCATGAAACTGATATTCTTTGACTGTTGGTAACAGATGTTTTAAAGAGAACTTACCAAACATAATGTAATACCTGGTATCTTCATTCAATGTCTCTTGATTCACATCTTCAGGAAAAAGTTTAATATAGGCACCACCACAGTCAACGTGTTGGTCATATTTTACTGTATATTGAATAACTAAGGTTTGACCTTCGTTGTTGAATGGTCGAAACCTTGCTGACACTGAATAGTATTTTGTGTCTTCAGTTGTCTGCAGGCCTGTAAAGAGAATATGGGTCCAAATGTCAAAGAAAGCTGTTATTAAAATGTTTTACTGCAATTGAGATATGTTCAATAAATTTTGCTTTGCTTATAAAGTCTCTAGATAAGAAAATAAAAACTGCGAGACAGGCAAAAAATGGAAAAGACAAAAAAACCCAAACTAAAATCTACCCTAGGACACAGCCAAGGTTTATGTTTCTTAAAACTTCTTTAAATATTCCATAACTGTCTGAGAGGTTTTCCCTGAACTGGCCATGCATACCAATTACTTTTCTTGGATATTCACTCAGAACACTTGCTGATGTCATTTTTCTGAATTTTTTTTTAAAGGGTTTTCCTTTGTAGACCAATTACAGGAACTGCATCCCTGGTAACACAATCTATTAGCTGATATATTGCAAGATAACACATTGCATTCTTTGAGGTCAGGTAAGGCAGGTAAGGTAAGAATGAGAGGTAAGAGAAAACTTTCCCTTACTTCCTCTCAGCTAAGAATAGCGAATATCTTTGTTACTTGTTTGTAGCTTGCTACTGTCTCCTCCTGCGAATCTGCTTGAAACCTAGGTACTCAGAAATATATGGAACAAAAATATCTTTGGCTATAAAAAAAGGTGACTACCTTTGAACATATCCAGGATTATTACTACAGAAAGAAAATGCAATGACAAGCCAGAAGAAAGAGAATTTACTTATCAAACCATAAACATTTATGAAACAAAGCAAGACTCGTTTTGTCGTCATTTTATGTTAGGAAGGGGAGGAGGGGGAGGGGAAGACTGGATTTATATCCCACCCTTCACTCAGAGTCTCAGAGTAGCTCACAATCTCCCTTCCCTTCCTTTCACCACAACAGACACCCTGTGAGGTAGTTTGGGCTGAGAGAGCTCTTTCGAGAACTGCTCTTTCGAGAACAGCTCTGAAAGAACTTTTGACTGACTCAAGGTCACACCAGCAGCTGCACATGGAGGAGTGGGGAATCAAACCCGGTTCTCCCAGATTAGAGTCCACCCTCTTAACCACTACTCCAAACTGGTCAACTCCCAGCTCCTAGTCCAGAACTCAAACCACCACATCCCTTATGACGGTCCTACCCATCATTGGTAAGTTTGCCAACCTTAAGTTTTAATAATAGATATGTAAATACAAGTTTCAAAGATAATATTCTTGGAATTTAATGTTAGTGTGCAGTTATTACAACCAGGATATAAAAATACTTCAGGAACGCCCAGTGGGCTTTTTCTTCCCTACTTTCTTACAGCGCTGAGCAGGAGATCGTAGTGCCTTAGGATAACTGCTGTTGAAAGCACCTTCTGTTTCAAACAGTGGTTTGCCATGTGGGACAAAGTTGACCATTTGAGAAAGGTGTCCAAAGAACATGCAAGAAAAAGCAGCATGGACCTTTACATCTTAGCTAGCATTGAAACAGCATAACAGAATAAAAGTGCATGAGAACAAGCCAAAAAGTCAGTAGAGAATATTCAAGACAAATTGCACTTTTCATAACTGCTTGATTAGAGATAATACCTTTATCTTTTTCTCTATCACCATAGAATCTTCCTGCAGATATTCGAAATTTACCATAATCAGTTCTGTGTTTAGACTGAACCCACCGTTTCTCCCATTCATCTGGAAAAAAGTAAAAGTTTATCAGTAGCAAAAAAAAAAGTTTACCAAAGATAGTAAACAGTTATTATTTAACAGAATGTGAAATGACTATTTTATATGATATAGCATGCAAATAAACATATGGCTATAATGTGTATGAACTCATCCATGGGGAGTTTAATAGTACCATGGCTAACCTAGCAGTGATTTGACAGATATGACTACTGGTTTAACTCACTAACAAACACAGTTAGCTTAGAAACCTATACAACAGAGTCTAGTAAACCTTTTTAAAAAATTGTTAATAGAAACAAGTCTTATTCAAGTCAGTATTAAATACTTGTTTAATGAAAAGTAAATGATAATAACCCACACTGAATGAAGTCCTGTCTTCTGTTGCTTATTTGCACATATTGGTGTCTATAGACATTTCTGCAAGTTTCCAAAATGGCTCAAGCCATGCTTTGACATTTCTGAAGCAAAGAAAATAGCTGAAGCATGTATTTTTATGATATCCTCTAACAGAATTGCCTAAATAGCCCAAGAACACATGGACAGAACAAAACATAAGATCTTCAGTAGTCATCAGTTTGATTATATCGAGAAGTTTTCCCAGAGGTTTTTATGGCATCTTTCTTATTCCTAACATTGTTTAAAGAGCTTTAAAACCATTGAAACATTAAACACCATATAAACAAGTATTTCTTTTAAAGTTCTTTAAAGTCCTAGAATTACATTTTGTGTGTCCGTGTGTGTGTAAAATTCAAGAATGCTTCACTGAGTAGCAAAACCCTATGTTTAACCGCATCTGAAACTTGAGATAACTACTCCTGGGTCCCCAGGGACTACTAGTGCATGTTGAATCATGTTTGATGATTTGCCTGCTTTATGACATGTTTATACCCCTAGACCCAAGACTCAGCATTAAGTCAAATAAAAAGAATGATACAATTTACTTTCACAATCCACTTTATGAAGCAAAGAACAACACAGGACAATGACAATTTAGTCAGAATAAGTGCCTAAGAAAATCTCCTGAAGAAAGCAGGATTAAAAAACAGTGAACAATTGTAATAACTGATACTTATCTTCCCATGGGATATGTGCACCCTAATTTTCTTATGGAATATGAAGAGAAGCGACAAGGAGAAGGAAGGAAATGGATGATGGGGAGGGGAAAGAAGTATAATATTTTCTCTCATATTTTTGTCGTTCCCCGTGAAATCATGTTCCAATTCTTGAACAACAAGCAAATCCAAATTAAAGTAAGAGCCAAAACCTAACGTGATTAATGTACTGATTCTGCCTCCATATTCAGAAATAAGATACATAAAATTATAGTCTGTACAGAAGTGTTTAGGTGTAGCCTCAAAGGGAAGAGACCGAAATTAGTATAATATCAACAATTTACTGCTATATATTTTTCTTTTTTTAAAAGACATAACATTATTTGCAATATTCTTCCTACCAAAGAATCTGCTGCTTTTGGCTGTATTCAGAATAGTCAGTGGAAACTTAATAGGCACTCTGTTGATTCTGGTCAATTACTTTTATAAATAAAATAGGTGAGAATAGTAATTCCAGAGACAGGACTTTTATAGATTAATTAAGTGCTGGGATCCTGGATGTATTAATCAGTAAAGACCCTCATGTTCCTCTATTCCTTCCATGCATTACTTGGAATTCTCCTCATAAAATTGACTATTTGTTCTCCTTCCCTCAAAAACAAACAAGCAAACAAAAAGCCTAATAAAATCTAGTTCTGTAGTTTTTGTATTTCGTATTATTTTCAGCAATGGTATGCAACTCTCCATGTAGGTCAACAAAGTAATCAGACCATGCACAATGAAATAAGCTATTGTCATTTACTGTGAATATCAATGTGACTTTAATTAATTGTTAAAATAAACTTTGATAATCAAGACATTTTTACTGACTGCAAAATAAGTACAGTTTTACTAAAAATATGAATAACTGCATATCCCCATTTACATGTAATGTAAATACACTGCTACACTGTACTATGAAATCACACAAGGAAGCATTTTTTGTAAAGCAGGCTATACAGAATGAATAAGATCTCCTTGCTAGGACAGATCCCACTATATCACTTACCCTCATCATCAAACTCTTCTCTAAAATACTCTTTTATTATTGTATGCTGAGGCTCCTCTAACTGGGTAGAAGACCTGGCACCGCTGCCAGCTACTGTACCAAGTAGTGCCCCTATCAAAAAAATCCCAAAACAAATCAGTTTCATTACTGATATAATTAACAGCTTAGTTAAATTAATGTGGCAGGAGCCTTTTTAAAACTGCAGTAGCAGGACTTCAGAAGCTTTTACTCTGAAATACCTTGCTTCTGCTCCTGAACCACAGCCACTACACCACACTGATACCATGCTTAGCTGATGGAACCTTCTAATTGGCTGGAATCCATGAATAATTATGCTACAGGAACCAATCGGCAGGGACCACGCAACCAAGTGCACAAAATGCTATTTGGAACATCTCAAAGGAAATGGATTTTGAAGACCCAGGTGTCCTAGCCTAATTCAGACCACGCCACACCGCCTAAGTAGCTTAGTGTCAGCAACAGGCAATAAGTACTAACCTCTTGCTGTAGACTATTATTTGACAATATGATTTATGCTCGATGGTCAGGATTTTTTTAAAGAATGCAATCAAAATTCTCAAACCTAGATGTAAGCAACATAAAATGACTTAGTAACAATATAGTTATCTATCTACAAACATTGTTTTACCTCAGAATATGGTATTAAGAATCTCTTTCATCCTCTGACCTTTCCCTTATGAGCCTACAGTTTTCCCTGTAAACCTGCTGATAGAAAGGTTTTGATTAGTGTGGTACAGTGTAATTGTAAGGACTTCCTGAGTCATTTTTAATGAACTGTAAAGAATTCCCATGAGAATAATGATAAAATACAGAATTGAGATTTTAGAGTACAGGAGAATTATGACCAAGTAGTCAGGACATGTGAAAATATAAGTGTCTTTACAAAAGATATGGATGGAGCCAAAAAAGAAGATGTACATTAATATGGGAGGAGTGACATCAACACAGAACAAGACCAAAGAATAAATTCACTGTGTTACAGAACTATATGGTGAAGGTGAATGGGTTTTTATTTATTGGTACCCCATTCTATCCCAAAGGATCAGTACAGTTAACGCATTTTAAAAACAGGCAGTAAATCTAATGATACAAAATATGTATATATTTTATTTAATGTAGTATTATCTTAACTAGGGTTGCCAACTGCTTGGAGGGGAAAAAAGCTTTAGCTGCCCATTTCCTAACATTAAGCCTCTATTAAAGGGACAGAACATTTCCCTCCAGGCCTGTTGGCAACCCTAAAGGAAGCAATTCCTACAGTAAGGATGAGTCAACTTCAAACTTTTGTATTCTGATTTTTCCTTGGAATACCCAATATCTGCTGATGTGTTTTAAATTTACAAAGGAAAAGGCATACTCAGAATGTCTTAATAGTTAAGGTATAACTAATTTGTATTAAAATTATCCTCAGTACTGTACTCATGCTTAAGAATATTAAAAAAAAATTAGGAGTATCAGATTAAGATCCAGCTAGTACAGCTTTCTTTGCAAGAATCCCAAAAGTCTTCAGGCACTGCACAGTCCACCAGAAATCTGAGAACAGGCCATGATCTAACTTCTGACCACGATTACCCAACAGACTGAGCAATCTATATGTCAGATCCATCATTCTGAGATGAAATTAGAGATCTCATAAAGAGCTGATATTATAGGATGGGTAGAAGGTGCTTTCAATAGCTCACCAGTGTTCAGGAGGAGTTGCTCACACAGCAAATACACACAGGAATACAGTCACTACAGTAAGAAAACATACATGTTGGTTGCTAGCACCCAATTTGCCCTGACCAAGATGGCTCAGCCTACCCTGATCTCATCAATCTCAGAAGCTAAGCAGCTCTGGCTAGTATTTGGATGGGAGACCTCCAAGGAATGCCAGGGATACTAAGCGGAGGCAGGCAATGGCAAACCACCTCTGACCATCTCTCGCCTTGGAAAACCCTACTAAATCAGCTGTGACTTGATAGCACTTTTCACCACTAGCACCTAATCTAAGACAATCATTCACAGCCTTCTATCAGAAAGTTGAAATAACCTACCTACCATTGTAACCTGACATTCTATGCAATAGGTCCCATGTATAACCCAGTCAACAAACCCGCATATCCCTTAAGAAAAGATCACTTTTGTGATACAAATAAACCAGCAGAAGTGTTGAGCTATTTGATAAATTGCTGCCTAAGGGTCAAACTAAAGTTTACACACAGATGTGTACAGCATTAAACTGACAACATCTACATGCGCCCCCTTGCCCAGATTGCATGGAGACACGGGCTGGGATGTCACCAGTATGCAGATGATACCCAGCTCTATCTGTTGTTGGGCGGCTAGTGTGACTCTAGACCGGAAGATCTGGACCGGGCCTTATAAGACATGGCTGGATGGCTTAGGCTGAGCCAACGGAAATTGAATCCGACGAAGACGGAGGTCCTGTGCCTGAGTTGGGGTGGACCGAGGGTAGGGATCCCACTCCTGACCTTTGATGGGGCTCCGTTGGTGCCAGTGCCGGAGGTTAGGAGTTTGGGAGTGCTCTTGGATGCCTCCTTACCGATGGAGGCCCAGGTAGCAGCCACTGCCAAGTCTGCCTTTTACCATCTTCGGCTGATCAGGCAGTTGGTTCCCTTCCTTGAACGCAACAACTTGGCAACAGTGATCCATGCGATGGTCACCTCGAGATTGGACTACTATAATGCTCTCTACATGGGGCTGCCCGTCACAAATCCGGAAGCTATAACTAGTGCAAAATGCTATAGCCAGGCTTTTAATGGGCCTCCCAATGCGGGAGCACATTTGGCCTGTGCTGAAGGCATTGCACTGGTTACCAATAGCATACCGAATTCGCTTCAAGGTGCTGGTTCTTATCTTTAAAGGTTCTTTCTTGGTGGCGGCTCCTCTCTGGTGGAATGAGCTCCCAGAAGAGATGAGGGCCCTGCGGGACCTTATGCAGTTCTGCAGGACCTGCAAGATGGAGCTCTTCCACCAGGCTTTCAATTAGGACGGAGCCACCCCCAACAAAGAACCCTGCTCCCTGAAGATATCAGAAGAGCCTGTGCCAGCTGCACAAGATCAGATCTATGGGCTGACCACTAGGATAGAGTACTGAAGGTCGGCTGTCATCTTTTAATTCAGTTAATCATTTGATAATTATTAGCATTACAAGAGAAAGACCCGCGAAACTCGTGGGGGTGGGGGAGGAACTCAACAGGCGGAGGAGGAAGAACCAGGTAAGTTTCCCGCCCTCCCGTCGGTTCCCCGTCTCCTCCACCCCCGGCTCGCCACCCCCCCAGTCTCTCTTCCCCCCCCTCCGATGTGAGCCCGTCTCTTCCCCCCTCCCCCCTTTCCCCTCTCCGTAGCGAGCCCCGGCGGCTGCAGCTGCCGGGGCTT